AAATGAAAAGAGAACCCACTATATGGGAGAACATATTTGGCAACAATACATCTGATAAAGGGTTAATATCCAAAATATATATAAAGAACTCATACAACTTAACAAAAGAGAGACAAGCAACCCAATTTAAAAATGGGCAAAGGACCTACTATTAAGTAGACACTTCTCTAAAGTGGACATACAGATGGCCAGAGACATGAAAAAATGCTCAAGGTCACTGATCATCAGAGAGATGCAAATTAAAATGACAATGAGGTATCACCTGACACCTGTCAGAATGGCTACCATCAACAAATCAACAAATGACAAGTGCTGGCGAGAATGTGGAGAAAAGGGAACCCTAGGGCACTGCTGGTGGGAATGCAGACTGGTGCAGCCATTATGGAAAACAGTATGGAGTTTCCTCAAAAAAAATTAAATATGGAACTTCCATTTGACCCAGTAATCCCATTTCTAGGAATATATCCTAAGAAACCCAAAACACCCATCAGAAAGAATGTAAACACCCCTATATTCATAGCAGCACGATTTACGATAGCTAAGATCTGGAAACAGCCCAGTGCCCATCAGTAGATGAGTGGATAAGAAAGCTGTGGTACATTGACAGGGAATACTATGCAGCAGTTAAAAAGAAGGATCTCTTACCCTTTGAGACAGCGTGGAGGGACCTGGAGAGTATCACGCTAAGTGAAATAAGCCAGTCAGAGAAAGATCACATGATCTCACTCCTATGTGGGATCTGATTAACAAACTGATGAACGAACGGAGTGGACCCAGAGACATGGAAGCATGGAACAGAGTGCGGAATCTCAGAGGGAAGGTGGGGAAGGGAGGATGGGTGGGGGGTTATCAACCAACGACCCTGTTTGCATAACCCATGGACGCAGACAATGGGGTGGTGAGGGCCTGGGGTGGGGGTTGGGGGGGTCCTGGAGAGGGAGGATGGGGGAAAAAGATTAATAAAAAAAAGATGAAGCAAGCCCAAATGAGGTGAGCCATGGAATTAATGGAGAAAGGCATCCCCGAGGGCTGGTCCAGATGGGCCTCCCGGACAAGGTGGCACGCCCTGCAGAAGGACGCCGGCTAAAGGAACTGGGGCTTGGCAACCAAATGGATCAGAGCCGTTCCTGGGCCGACAGAAGGGGGCAGTCAGCTGGGCAGCATCTGAAGACATGAGGAAATTGAGCAAGGGCCTCAGAATTTAGGAGCCAAAGTGGAGGGTGTGCGATGCCCCGGCTGACTTTCAGGGCAGAAGTTACTCCCATACAAGGTCCAACGGTTTGCAGAGCACAGTTTTCTGTTCCCCACAAATGCTCAGCAGAAGGCATCCTGGTAGTTCTCTCAGAGGCCTCCTTTTAGCTAGTGGGCACGAGGGTGTTCCATAAGCATCAACTGAACAATGAAGCAAACATAAGACAGTTGTTACTTAGTCGATGAGGAACTGAGGCTTAGACTTGCTTGCAGACCAAAGGGCAAAGCCAGGACCAACTCAAACTCGGGCCTGAGAGCTCCATTCTGGCTCCCGCTTTCCAATTAAGCCATCCTCCATCCCTGGGCTGGAGCTAATAGCAAGTCATAAAAAGCATATTTCACCTTCCGTTCTTCTCCTTTCCCGGGGGAAGCCAGTCACAGGTTACAAAGAAGCTAGGTGAGAGACCGCTGAATGGATGGTCAGGGATGGGTTCCCCAAAGACTCACCGACACACAAACGAGGTCAAAATGCCCACGCTCTAACTTAAAGAGCTTCAAGGTCAGCACCCGCCGAATCTGGTCACGGGCAGCATCAGCCCCTGACGCTCTGTGGGGGGCAGCCACTGTGCGGGGCGAGAGGGCCACCCCGCAGGACGGAGGTCTGCAGCGTGGCCTCGGCAAGCCCCGGAGCCTCTGTCAGCCCGTTTCCTTCGCTCCGAACCATCCTCCCGGTCCTGGGGTGCATGCTTTGTGGGAGCGGGATTTCTGACTCCCTGTGCCAGGCACATAGTAAGCGCTCCATGGATGCCTGTGAACACGAGGGGATGCGTGTCCGCACAAGCGCTGTCATAATACGAAGGGGCAGAAGGTCATGACTGGAAACGTTCACTTTCGCACAAAGTCGATGTGAGGTCTAACTGCACAGCTGTCTTCCTCTGGCTCATCTCGCCCAGCATACGTCCTCCAGGGCCATCCACGTTGTCACAAAAGGCAGGGCTGCCTTTGTCTTGGGCTGAGTGATGTTTCACTGTACACATGTGCCTCTTCTTTATCTGTTTGTCGTAGGTCCTTTTCCCTCAGCTACTATGAATAAGGCTGCAGTGAACAGCGACCACGCGCCTCTGGGAATGAAACAACCTGATCACCCAGCGAGGCCCCGGGAGCGAATCCTCCCGCCGCAGGAACCGGTCCTCCGACACCTGAGTGAGCCTGGAAGCAGCCAGGCCTCCACCGCAATTTCCGCCTCCTGAGCCCAGGAGCGGAGACCTGCCTGAGCCCCCACGCCTACCTGCACTGGGAGATGATAAATGGGTGTGTTTTCCTTTTTGTTGAATGTATTGGGGTGACCTGGGTTAATAACATTGTAAGGTTCAGGTGTACAATTCTAACACATCATCTGCATATCGTATATCGCAAGTCCAGTCTCCTTCCATCCCACGTATCCCAGTGTTTTAAGCTGCTAAGTTTGGGATCACTGGATACAACAGCAATAAAAACTGATAAACCAGATAGCTGTCTATCACCAGGGATCGGGGGCCCTGATGTATGTGTAACAGAGAGATTTCTACCTGGGGCTCAGCCTCACCTCAAGGAACCTGGATTCTCCCGGCTCCCAAGCAGGGGAGGTGGTCCGGTATCTTGTAGGCTGTGGGTAGTCGGACACTTCCCCCTGTGTGGGCAGGTCTGGGTTCAACAACGGGTCTGGTTTCCTGTTGAGCATCAGGGCAGTGAGCAATGGCTGCTTCCACAGAGTTAGTAAATGCCACCAAAGCAGAGGCCAAAGCACACTGGCGTGAAGTACAGCGTTCCCAGGGGCAGCGCAGGGGCTGGGGAGCCGGTCCACAGCTGCAGCGCCTCTATCTGCTGGTTCTGGGTGCCCAGGAGATTCAGTTCACCCCTTTGGCCGTCCCTGGCCCTTCCCACCTGTGACCTGGGGGCCTGTTTTTGCCAACAAAGCCTCCTCGGTGACCAGCGCTGACAGGGCAGGGGCTGGCTGCACACTCAGATTTACCGTCACTGTGCAGGGACCCCCACCCTGGCAGCCCAGCACCACTGTGTGCCTGAGCCCCTCCTGTGGCTTTGGAAACAAAGGAGCCTGGGCCCAGCCGAGCCCAGTTCGTCAGGAAACTCAGCTTAAAGGCAGCACCTGGTCCCCTGGGAGCCCCAGGAGTAGCGGGAGGCCGGCCTGGAGGGGGCAGACCGGAGCCTGTCTGCCGATGGGGTGAATTCCGGCTCTACCGCTTACTAGCTGTGTGGCCTTCGATACGGCTTCAACCTCTCTGAGCCCCAACTTCCTCACCTGTAGGATGGGCATAGCATTAGATAGAAATAGGATAAATGTGTGGGATCAGGGCCCAGAGAGGACATGAATGGATCCTCATTCAAACGCTTGGCCCACCTGGTGGAGCAGGGCCCGTCCTAGGCCCTTCCCATCGACGGACACCAGACGCCCTGACTCTGCTGGAATGTCATTGTCCCAAACATGCTGGAGGTAAAGGGGCCAGGAGCCGGGCTGGGTATGTCTCCGGGTTATGTGGTCACTCATTTAGGAGACTGGACTTTAGGGAAGTGTGTGGAGGACTAAGAGGCCATGTGAGGGTCCCAGCTGTGTGGGTCGTTGTCACAGCTGGGCTGTGTGCGTCTTCCCGCTGGCCAGCTTTCTCGCCCCAGCTCTTCCTTCAGGAAAAGGAAAAGCACTAGCTCCAGAGAGGACTCCGTCTCGCCCGGTACAGCCCCTCACCTGCTCAGTCCCCGGGGGTCCCTGGGAGGTGCGGCCGCGCGCCCAGCTGGGATCCTGTCTCCACGGGGAAGGAAAGCAGGTCCCGGTCACAGGGGTCAGGAGACAAGTGCTGTGACGAGTCTGCTGTCTGGGCCTGGCTCCCCCATTTCCTGCACGACCTCAGTTAACCAGTGCGTGCCTCCGTTTCCTCACCCCCACAGGTAGGCAGTCACCGTCTCTGATTCCCTGGCAATAACAGGGAGGTGCTTATAATTGGGTGTGGCTTGTAGCAAGGACTCAGAATGGCCAGTTTTAAAGATTCTTATTTTACGTCTTTTTTACATTATTGATTTCTCTAATTCTTGGGGTATTGGTCTTACTATGCCCTGCCTCAAATCCCCTCCTCTCGGGGAATTCGTTTCCTCGTGCAGCCTGAAAGGTTTTACTTAGTTCCTGGCAGCAGGGGGTTCCTATGGGGTCTCTATGCCCAGGATGTGGGTGCACTCTGAAGGGGTCCCACGGAGGCCTCTGCTGGGACCCTAATATTTTTACTGGTTGGAGCACTTATCTCTTCGGTTTCTCAAACTGGCGTCCTGCACTGCACAGGAAGGTAAACTGGACTGGATGCCCGTCCCGCACTCCTCACGCCTGTGGAGGATCCTGACTTCTCCAAGCGACGTGGTTTCCACAGTAAACAGATGGCAGAGCCAACCCCCAGAGCGCTGGTCTCCCTTCAAGGAAAGGGCAGCCCTTTGAGGTTCCCAGTTGGTAGCAGGAGGCTCCTTTCAACTCCCCACCTTCCTCAGGCCTGAGGTCTCATTTCCTGCTCCCAGAGGGCAACTCCTGCCAGGTCCGGAAGGCCTTCACCTGGGTCCCGCGCCCCCCACACCCAACCCCAGCATCCTCCCACCACCACCCAGGCTTCTGCTCCTCTTCTTTCCTGACGTCTGAGAATGGGGACAGGTTTATTGTCATAAAAATAAGTTACAAAACGCAACGCCAGCATGACTGCATGAACACGGGCTCGTGGTGTTATGGGTTCAATCAGCGAGATAGACCACCGACCCAGAATTTAAATTTAGGAGCCTTTATTACGCTGGCCAGCTGACTACAGTACGTCCCTCCTATAGGGAACCTCATACTGCAATGCTGACCGAGGGTACAGCAAAGCCTTTTATCTGTAACACTACAAAGCATTTCCTGGCACTGGCAGGGTTCATACAAAGTTTACAAGTATGAATGGGGAGGTAAACGGAGTCACACCTGGCTGGGTTGAATCATAATACATTGTTTTCTGAGACAATCTAGCAGTTTTTCTCTGTCAGGATCCCGGACCCTAATACAATAGGTAACCTTTCCATGCTTCCGTCCCTCCCCCTAGCACATTCTGTAACCCTTCTATGCCTCAGTCCCTCACCCTAGCACAGTGGAAACACTGGGAACGTGACCCCAGGGCGATTCCCCGGGAGGCAGAGCGACCACCCAGCGCGCCGGTACCCTCATCCCGGGTCTAAGGTTGCTGTGCCGCCCGCAAGGTGTCCTGTCCACCGGGATGGAGTCTGTCCTTTGGAGGCTCTGCCTCAGAGCCAGGCTGTCCTGGGGGGGGAGGGGGGGGCATGGGCGGTCTGACTCCTGACCCCTGACCCGCTGCGGGAGGGGAAGGGGCGGTCACTGCCGGCAGGTGTCGTGGAAGGCTTCGAGGGTGCGGAAGTCCCTCCAGGTGGGGGGCAGGCCGTCCTGCAGGATCTTCCCGCAGCGCTGGCAGGGCGCCTGGAACAGCTTTATGTAGCTTCTCAGCCAGGTCACGAAGGACCGGACCACGACATGTGGCATCTGGGGCAGCTGGTAGTGCAGCAGGGCAGTGGTGGCGTGGTCTGTCACCTTCTGGAACACGTGGTAGTTGGACTTGGACCATATATCCAGCTTGCCGTCTTCCGTGTAGACGTTCTCGTTGTAGCCCTTCGCGATCGTTCGGTCAATGAACAGGCTCCGCATGACGACAATCACTTTGAGCACCTTTCCCAAGGTCACCAGAAGCATCGCTGACGTTCCACTGGGTCTGGATAACTGGATGGACATTTCAGGAAACATCCTGTCAATGCGGCTGATCACGTCATCGACATACCGAGGCGGCAGGACGAGCGCGGTGGGCTGCGCCTCGGGCCGGCGTTTCGCAGACACTCCCCTCCGGTTAGCAGAGCGTCTCGGCGACTGCTGGTGCAGGAGGCCGGATGCCAGGGCAGCCTGCTGGACCACTTGTAGGCTTGGAGGCGCTGGCTGTAGAGGGCGGTTTTGTCCCGCACGGGGTCCAGGCTCAGCAGGCCGCTGTTATGGAGCGGGTGGCTCTCCGACGGCTCGCCGACCAGGTTGCTCAGACGGTCCAGCTCGTGGAGGTCCCGGCTGACCGAGCGCAGGTTGTCCTGGAAGCGCGCGATGAAGGCCTTCTCCCGGCCCTCCAGCGGCTCCCTGTTGCGCACGCCATCCTCCAGGCAGCCGAACACCCTGCTCACGCTGGAGCGCAGCGCCTGGATGGCGCCGATGGCCTGGGAGAAGGCCTCCAGGCTCGCGCCGCCGCTCAGCGGGCCCGCCATGCCGCCGCCGCCGCCACAGCCGCTCCTGCTTCGCGAGCGAAAGCCGCGCTCCCGGATGACGCAGCGCGCGGAGGCTTCTGGGAAATTTTTCTTTTTTTTTTTTTTTTTGCAAGATCCACGCTTTATAAACACATATTCTCACATGTCTGAATTGATACACAGGGTTCTTAGTTCATTTTACAGATTCTGAAACCAAACTGTTCAAATGGTAAATTCTGAAACCATGGTTAATGTAGCAAATGAATATTTCAAAACAAAAACTTCATCCAAATATTTACATTTAGAAAATAGACTACTCATTAAGTGTGCTTGAACAAACCATGTGTGGAATTGAATTCCATTTATTACAGAGTTAGTTCCTGCTAAACACTTACTGATCCTAGAGAAGACGCCCCAGCACCTGAGTTTTCAAGTGTTCCTAACCTATGCTAAAAAAAAAAATAAAACATGACAACTAATTTCGGAGGCACGAACCTGAACCTCAGAAAAGGATGAGCTAGTATGTAAGGCAAATTACTTAGGGGTTAGAAGGGGGGGCACCTGGCAGTCAGAGCGGTTTTGCCACTGTCTCAGCATTACCAGGTTGTTCATAAAATTCTCTGGAGGTCATTTAGATTCTGTAATCACACCTCACTGCTTTATGTTCTAGTAGTTTCACAAACTTGGGACGCTCACAAAAATATCTGGGAATACATTCCTTGAGAAGTTGGAAGGGCCTCCTTATTACATTTAGCAAAAAAACCATGCAGTCTCTTAGAATTCATAGAGCTTTTTCAAAATAAACTGATTTTTCAGCCTAATTAAAAACCCAAACACTTTATATTACAGGTATAGAAGTTTATAGTTAAATACAGAACTCAGCTATATATTGAAACACAATTTTTAATCCTTTACTGGTCATTCCTGTGCTGACAGTGGGAGGGGCCTGCTGCACCTGCACTGCCTAACGCTGGTTTGGAGAGATAGTTACGTTGAGGCCCGGGGTGAGATATGAGAGAGAAACGGAGTCTGACCTCTCACGCCCACTGGGGTCCTGCAGGGAGACCACCCACCACCCACCCTGGGCCTGCACAAAGATTCCAAAATCTGGGTCCTCCCGCCCTCTGGGAAACTAAACCCCCTCCCTCCCAGCCTTGAGCCTGACGGGCCAAGGAGCCCCCACGGAAAAGCCTGCTCAGTGAACGCCTTTGTGTGAAGGCCCCAGCACCACAGGAATTGGAACCAGGAGAGAAATAAAGAAAGTGAGAAAGGTCTGGGGGCTGAAGGCACAGGTGTCAGAGGCAGTGACCAGAGGGGCACCGAGTGGCCTGCCCAGCACGAGGCCAGGGACACCCTCCAGGATGGGCTCCCCCCTCGGGGGCTCCAGGCTTCAGCACCCCCACTTGTGCACGACAGGAGTCCTCCCCGCCAGTGCCACATGCTGGACAGGGACGAGGGGACACCCTACTACACTGTAATTTTCCATGTACACTTTACGCTCAATATTGCATTAGTCCCAGGTGTGCAGCACTGTGGTTGGCCATGTATACAGCTCACAGTGATCGCCCCACAAGTCCAGCCCACCTGGCAGCACCGGGGTTACCAGTGCTGCTGACGCGTCCCCGGTGCTGTGGCTCCTGCTGCACCGGTGTGGGCCACCCCGGCCACAGCAGCCACGCCGCCTGCCACACGCACGGAGCACGGCGTGTACAGGCGTGGTGGACAGCAATCCTGGGCGGTGGTATTTTCAGTTTTATCTTACTAATCACCTGCCATTTAACACCTCCCACTGGGGAAAAGTGGAGGGAGAGAAACAAGTCTCTATTTTTATAAAGTTGTACCCTTTCTCTCTGCATGTCCTTACTGTGTGTGATTTTACAAAATTAAAAATATTAAAATCCCAGGCTGACATGTTTGCACTTGCCTTACTTCACAAACTTCAGAGTGAGCCTTTAAGAACATGAGCAGCTACTTGGCTTACGTGCATCTAAACAAAGGAAACTCCGGAGCAGTCCCTCCCGGAGCCCGACTCTGCCCAAGGCCAGCCCGCTGCCCCCCAACTTCTCCCTCAGAGTTAGGGGAACAAGTGCCAGTAGCCTCAGAACAGCTTTGTTTGGTCTCTATTTCAAGCCAAAAAGTTTCTAAAATTCTAGCGTGAAGTTCAAAGCACCTCACTTCGCACTTGAGAATTTTAAAAAGTAGGAAATGCTGGGTAGTTATGCGATCCACTTAATTTACTGTTATTTTCATTTTACAATTTGAGAAATGAACACTCAAAAGCTTTCACTCCGATACTGAACGCCGGCCAGGGTGCGCGCCATAAATGAGTGAACTGAGGCTCAGAGAGGTGACACGGCTCGCCGAGGCCACACGCACAGTGAGTGGAGAGGCTGGGCCTGCGCGCAGCCAAACCTGAGGGCCAGTCACGGGGAGCGAATCAGCCGGAAGCCCAAGGACGACACCTCCAGGGACCACGTGCATTTGATGGGCCCATTTACCTTGAACCAAGCCCATAACTGTGACTTTTCAAATGTTAGCGGATAAGCAGGCACAGAGAAGCATTCTCCCACCCACCACTGTAGACTACCCCAAGCCCCAGTGCAAACAGCTGCCGCTCTCCCCTCCACGTGCCGGACTCTGCCCATGGGTTTTGTTTAGTGACTGAGGGAGCCCAGGTTCTGGCCAGCGGTGCCACCTGTGTGCCTTGCAGGCCAAAGTGACTGGGACACACATAACTCACTTCCCGCCCCTCCAAGGAGGGGAGCCGTCCATGGCCCGATACTGACTAAGTGCTGTTTATGCACCAGCCTTTGCCAGACGCTGGGGGAACCAGGGGTCAGGAAGTACTTGGGAAAGATGCCTGAGAGGAATGATGAGCCCTCACTTTTGTCTTTCAAGCATTGCTTGCCCTGGCTGGTTGCTCAGTGGTTAGAGCAGCGGCCTGTGGACCAAAGGGTGGCGGGTTCGATTCCGGGTCAGAGCATGTACCTCGGGTGCCGGTTCCCCAGCCCCGCAGGAGGCATGCAGGAACAATACATCGATGTGTCTCTCTCATATTGATGTTTCTCTCTCTCTTTCTCCTCCTCCTCCCTCCCTTCAATTCTCTCTCAGAAATCAATGGAAAAAAATATCTTCAGATGAGGACTTGAAAAAAAAAAGCGACACTCACTGTTCAGTTGGGGAGAGGAGATAACTGTGGAAAGACATATAACAAGACAAAGGTGCCAAAGGGTACGCGTGGTGGGTGGGGGTGGCCAAGGCCGCTCACAGTGTGAGGGAAGACAAACAGGTGGCTGGAGCAGCGTGCCGGACCACATGGTGATGAAATCAGCGGAGAGGCGCTGTGCTCTGGCTCTAAGGCTGCTCCTCCCAGGAGGCCAAGCCAAAGGTTTCCTCCAGAGGGACCAGAGGACAGAGCGGTTAGATAAGCACCTCAGGTGGGATACACACACAACATTCAGCCGAACGTCACTAGATTCTTGTTTTCTTGCTGCTAACCCTCACCCAGGATTATTTCCATTGATTTTTAGAGAGTGGAAAGGAGGGAGGGACCATGAAAAAAAAATTTCCTGTGTTTTCCCAATTTCCAAGATACTTACTCAAAATTGAAGTTTACCAGTTTCGTGGCCTCTCTAAGATCAGCAAGGACACCTATGACGACCCAGCAGAGTTTACCTGGAAACGGTACATGGAGAGCGAGGGTCCTCCTCCCCTCGTGGGAAGCCGGTGTCAGCCCCCTGCACAGGCCGTGTCCACCCTCGGACATCAGTTCCTGTCACTGGGCCCCACAGGGGACACCTGGTTTGTTTGTAGAATTCTCAGGGACACCCTCAGGAAAACAAAGCAAGAAAATCCAGATAACCAATTATACCAAAGCTTGCCAAGGGCACAGCGGGCAAAGGCCCTTGAGCAGAATAACTCCATCGTACCACCAGCCCCACTTCCTGCCGGGCACACCTATTCTGGTGACCCGATTCCAAGCGAATATGCGTTCCCGTCAACGGCGTAAAATGGAACAGAGGCGATGACTTTGTTATTCTGAAAATCACTAAATTTTCCAGATCAGCTCGGTTCCCTGGGCCTAGGAAGAAAGCTCACGGGCTGAGTGCCCGCGTCCGCTGGCTGGGAGCCAGGAATGGGGAGCAGATGAGGTAAACTGCATTGCTGTTTTGGTTTGGACCTGAGAGGCAAACATCTAATTTGAGAGCAAATAAATGGATTCTGCGCCCGAGTAAGCTTTTAAAATAGGATTCACTCCAAGGCAGCCTGAACATTAGTATGAAACACCAGCAAAATCCTGCCCCTAGTTAGGCTACAAAAGCAGCCCACCCCGGAGGGGACCCACCCACAGCAGACAGCTGCTCTGGGTTTAGAAAGTGCCGATGTGGGCTTCGGGCAGGGCGGCAGCTCGTACGATTATGACTTGAATGAGGATAAACAGAATCTAAACGTACAGCAGAGCGTGAGTTTAAATAGAAGCAGCGAACACTTACCGGGTGCTTGCTATGTGCTTGACCCTGTTCCGGTACTTAATAATGACACAATATTCCCGGCCCGTCTGGCTTTCATCTTTCTCTGCCTTTCTTCTTTCACTCAGCACAGTACCCTCTAGCTCCGGCGATGCTCTTGCAAATGGCAAGTTTTCCACCTTTTCTATGGCTGAGTCACATTCCGTTGTACATAAGCATCGCATCTGCATCGGTTCTCCCGGCTCCCATTCTAATGTTTGATGGCCCTTATGGTGTGCGGTGTGCGAGGCGTGGGGTGCGGGGCGCGGTGAGCGGTGCTGCAGGGCACAGGCAGCCCTGGCCTCCACCCTGGGTTTTGGAGACGGTGAGTCAGCGCGTGCTGCCAGGAGGCCTGCGTGTCTTCTCCGGGCGACTCGGGGAGAAGGCATGTCTAACAGCCTGAACTGGGGCTGCGGGCACCTTTCTCCCTGAAGTTGGCCAATGAGAGCCTGGCCCCGACTCCCCTCCTTCCTACTGGGCTGGTGACAGGAGGGCAGGGAAAGAAGTAAGAAA